AGACATGCCTTTGGGGGGGGGGGGCAGACCACTTAGGACAGCTAATGACATCGGCAGGGCACCTACTGTATGCCTAGTGGGCAAGGATGTGATGTGAATAACACTAAATGAACGGAAATATGCAAGTCTGATTTTGGCTTCCTTCTATGCAGGGGCTGACTGGCAACTTTTAGCCCAGGGGGCAAGTACAACCGAGAGGCCCATGGTGCGGCAACTTGACTGCCGGGTGCAGGTGGCAGCGGCCGTTCGCGATGGCATCAGAGAGGCCCGGGGGGCAATTGCCACCCTGCCCCCCGGCCCAGTCTGCCCCTGCTTCTATGCATCAGTCTTGGCTGTAGGATATGCTCACCAAAATGTTGAAGTGAGCTGAACCTCACATTTCTGCTGGTGGAATACCCATGGCAACAGGGTAGGACTGTAGTCATTTCTTTTCCTCTAAAACAGCAAGTGGCCACAAGCTAATGTAGCAACGATCACAGAATCTCTTGTGGCAGTCACAAATGTATAAGAAGAAATCAACAGTAACATATGGGCCAATTTATAATGGAGAGCAGGTATCTCTATCTGTTCTATGTTAGAGTCTCCATCACAGTCTCTCTTTAAACCATGGCCTGCATTTTGCGGCCAAATTGTAACGCAGCAGAGAACTCTGTGGTTGGAAGAGAGCCGGTCAGTTGGAGACAACAGTCATCTGGTCAATGCAATCAATAAATTGAGGCTCAATAACAGCAGCTGCCTGATCTTTATTTAATGATTTACATCAAGCAGCTAAAGTTTGAGAAATAGGACTGGTGGCAATCAAAGTTTGACGAGCCAATCTCGCTAAGGAGTAAATAGACTGGGAAAGTGCTTCTGACTGCTTGTCAGTCAGGCTACCCCCGCACTGCAAGGGTTAAGTGTTCGTTTGCATCTAGGTGCTAAAATAAAATTATACTCACCCGAAGCTCAAAACCGGCCAGCTGTTACAGCACTGCCTCCAGCATGCTCATGTCTATACACTGTGTACAGACGTGATGATCTACGTGACCTTAGACAACTGCAGAGGAGAGGGAGAGATGTTGGAAAGAATGGTCTAAGAACATAACATGCCAGGTCAGCATGGAACATGGGGTTTTTTTTTTTTTTAGAACCTAGATACGAAAGGAGCACTTAACCCTTGCAGTGTGGGGGCTAGCCCCACTGCAAGGGTTAATAAAAAAAATTCCTCGAGTTCTTTTTTGAAGGACAGATCGACTTTGATAGGAATGGTCAGAGTCTTGTTGAGGCAAGCCATTGGAGAGTCACCTGTGGGAGAAGTAGGCCATTTTGAGTCAGGGGATAAGCAGCAACATGGCTCTGTAACCACTTGTCACTGCAGGAGAGCAAGAAGAAATGGCTGGTGTGCAAGGAGAAACTGTCTTATAGCTTATACAGGACTTTTCTTATACTTTAGATTGCTGAACAGAATAATGGGGGAATGATTATTATAATACAGGATTTATATAGCACCAGTTTGCGCAGTGCTTTACAATATAAGGAGGACATTACAGTTACAATACAAATCAAGAAAATATAAGGGGTTCCCTTATGAATGATAGGAAGTTAAGTATATGCTTCTGTGGAGGTCTGCATTAAAGCGAACCTGTTTCTTGTTGCCTTCTTTTGGCACCACACAGGTTTGGTTTATAGGTCCATGATTGATAGTCACACACCTTTCATCCAATATACACTATATATGTTGTGTTATAGGAGACATAATGTGTGGGACCACTGCCATGTATAGCAGGCTGACAGACAGCTGCTACATAGACAACGCCCAAAATTCATTATGCCACATCCATTTCCGCATCCATTGAACGCATGGCACTTAAGAGAACTATGAGGCAAATGATTTCCACTCATCCTCATAGTTAGAGCCGACCTGTGACAAAGAAGCTGTCACAGGTCAGCTCTATTGATCAGGAAGTAAGCAAACACATATCTTTGCTTGCTCAATTTCCGATCATCTCCCTGCAGAAAGTGGTGATTACCAGTCACCGCTCTCCGCAGGGATTCTCCCTCCCCTCCAGCGCTGAGTGGAGAAACGGACGGGGGAGCGGGCGGGCACAGCTGGCTCTGCCTCTATATAGGCAGAGCCCGCTGTCATTCACGCAGCTGTGTGGTTACAGAAAGTATTGTCGGTATTTGTCCCGGCTGCGGCGCTCTCAGTTTATTGCCCTCGATATACTGAGCTTTGGGTCAGTAGAGCTCTTCTAGAACTTACAAAGTAGCTAAGGCTAGTAGTAGACCAGATGTGTTATGTGGCTTACTACTACCTGTACTATACCAGTATAAATGAGAACCCTGACAAACTAGGTATGCATTTTCTAAATGTTCCACGAGATGTCTAGTTACAAAGCACCACCTTAAATACTTAAGTTAAATGTCAGCATCATTTTTGGTGTAATGTAATTCCTGGTCCCAGTTACCCCACTGACTGGACAACCACCCCCTCGCCGCCAGAAATAAAAATTCTCTAGAGCCACGCCTGTGTAGTCCAATCAGTGACCATTAAGTACAGTGCCACTAAATACATGCGGGAGACCTAAAATGTGCTATGTGTATGGATCTTACCGTTGTAGGGATGTTTTTTTATGCCCATAGAAAAGGTTCTAAACAGAGCTATGTTATGTGGCTATTTTACTTATGTGGCTTATTTTACATCCACTTAAAAGTACTACTGTTATTGAATACATTATTTCTAACTGTAGATCACAGCATAATAATTTGCACTTTATCAATTAAACATTTTTTAGCCTTTTCTACTTCTGTTCCTTGGTAAATACTTACACTTCACTGGCAATAAACCCAGTCAGCTCAGACAAGAACAGAAAGGTGATGAAGAGACAGCAGCAGATGGAAACTGTAAGAGAAAAAGAACAATTGTGTCATTGGAAGAAATGAAACAAATGAACAACAGTCACCATCATGTGAAGCGCTCTCCTATATCAGAAGAGAAAGGCACAACATGTATTGCACACGCTAACTAAATATTGCTCAGATAGCAGCTGTGAGTGACTCACACACCAGGAACTAGCCTAGCGTCACTAAAAGAAAACAAGATTTCTTTATGCAAACATTAAAAAAGGTCTACATGGTTTACCTAGTAACAGAAGAGTAATCCTAAGCAACTTTATAGACTGTATATAAAAACACCTGCTGCAACATACAGACCATCAACTTTTTTAACCAGTTGACATCCGCGGTGTTATCGGGTGTTTGCATTGGTCGGGTCTTTTCTGCCCGTGCATGCCCGCCATGTGGCGCGCGCGAGCAGAAAAAAAATGCCGTCTGGGGACGGCAACCCACCAATGCTGCAGTGCCGTCCGTCCGTTTTTCAACAACGGGCGGACGGCAAGTGGTTAAAAGATGCAAACCACTGCAGGCAATCATGTGACGCATATGGACTGAAATTGTACTAGATTGGTATGCTGTAGAGCAGAGGTAGCAAACCTCCGGCCCTCCAGCTGTGGTGGAACTACAAATCCCATGAGGCATTGCAAGATTCTCACAGCCACAGACATGACTCCCGAAGAGAGATGCTTCATGGGATTTGTAGTTCTATATATATAATCTGACCCTCTATAGCTGGGGTAGCAAACATCCGGCCCTCCAGCTGTGGTGGAACTACATTTAAAAAAAAAAAAAAAAAGTTTGTGAATGCATTTATGCAGTTATTTATAAAAAAAAATAACTGAATGTTTTTTTTAAATGCAACTAATATGATGCTTTTTTAATGTATTTTAGCTTCTTGTAATCTCCTTAGGGCAGTACTAAGACTTGAAGAGGGAGCAAAACACAGGAAGCCGATGACCTCATCAGTCAGTTGGTGCTTTATCATTGACCAGTCATGGGACTGGGGCAGGCCCTTGGCCTAGCTTTGCTGCTAAACAGTAGTAGAGAAAAGTCAGATCGGCTGTTGTGTGGCAAGGTTGGATAAGAGTGCAAATCTGTTGGTAAGGGTGTAAAGCTGAATAGACAGAAATACAAAATGTATAGCAGGTATGACAGCTATATATTATTGTATACAGCATGTGTATTTAGCCTTTTGCCCGATGTCCAGCTTTAAAGTTTAACCACCATGGTTCTAGTAGTGTAATCAAAAGACTTGGATCTTATCTGAGATTTTGTACATACCGGACACCTGCCATTTAAGCTTTTGATATCACCAGGAACAAAAAAACAGCCTGCTGTCTGTGGGGGGTTGCACAAGACATACATTTTGAATAAACAGCATATTGTTTCAAGTAATGGAATATATACCATGTATCAGATGCTTTCATTACACATGAATGCAGACATAAACATACAAGAATGTGTTTAAGTTAATGCTGGATGGGGAAAAGCTGTTATGAGTTTCAGACGCCTTCCAAACACCAAACTGCCATCTAATGTCTGTGTCCAACCAATGACCAATGTAAAGCAAAAGGAATCTAAAAGTCAATAATAAACGTCAATCCAAATGTGGATACATTTTAGAGTTCCCAGATGTGATCTCTGCATGGCTCCCATATTAAAAACACAGTGAATGCATTCTAGATATCAGTCTATGGCCTTAGCATCTCTTCTGTGAGCAGACCACTGAAGACATGAAACAATGCGAGCACCACTGACCTAAAAGTCATCCCACAATCTATTGCCAGTGTTGTTGTGGTTTGTGAGGGGGGAGTTAAAAGGCTAAATTCATTAATATGGTGAGGCAGTGAGACTTCCGCCCAGCTCAAAATCCCAGCAAAGCGGATTAGTCACTTCCACAGCTTACGTACTGGGTATCAGCATTCACAGCTGACAAGATCCTTGGTCCTAGTAAATGACAAACAGAATCACCAAGACCACAAGAAAACATTTAAATGTGTCAGACCCCAACATGGGGACCATTAAAAGGCAGAAATGTTTATGGGACATAGGCAAACGTAGCTAATTAAATAGACAAACTGGTAGATACTGTACTGATGGTTTCACTTCAGGTACTACTTTCCAGCCAATGCCCGATTAAAACCATTCTGACATACAAGGATGATAATATTGGCATTGGATGGGATCTAAACAATTACATCAAGCAATTTTGGCAAAAGTCTGAAGAAAAGGAAAGTACAGTATAGAAGATTGTAGGCAAATTCTACCCAATATTCCACTGTACATGACATTATAACACTTCTGTGCTTCACAGCTTTTATTACAATCATACTATATGCACTGTGCAGGTTACATATATTGAATATGAGAATTTTGGATATATGGATCATTGTCCAACACTTGACCATTATGTAATGGGTTTTATCAGCTTATCAGATAAAAAGTAAATCTTTATGACTGGGCATGACAATGAGCTGATAATGACTCACAACAGTAAGTGGTAAGGTTTGTTTTCTTTTTACATTTAAAGCGACACTAAACTCAGATGTTAAAGATTAGAAATGCATTTAAGCACCTTGAACTATAGCTTATTTGTGTATCACTTGGCTGTAGATCCTCAAATCATCTCTGGATTCATGCCGACACTGTCCTTCCTTCTGGAGGGTGGCTACTTTTGTTCCCCATGGTCCCCGTGTGTGTTGTAAATTAGCCCCCATTCCAGTGATAGACTTCAATCTCAATACAAATTAGTAAACTAAATGTGAGATTGTAGTCCATCACAGGAGTAGGCTTGGAGTGGTGGCTACTTTACAACACACACAGGGACCATAAGTAGCCACCCTCCAGAAGGAAGGACAGTGTCGGCACCAATTCAGAGATGATTTGAGGATCTACCGCTGAGTGATACACACAAAAGTACATATTTATTAATAGTTAAAGGTACTTGAAATAATTTTTAAGCTTTAACTCTTGAGTGTGTCACTTTAAACTGCAACTAGCTTTCTCTAGTTTTGACACAAACTTAACAGATACAAAAAGGTTAGGCAGTTTTAAAATATTCATATCAGCATATGCCCTTAAATTACTAGCATTAGTATGTTATTTTGTCTATGATTAAGCTGTGAAGGTGAAATGCGTGAGAATTTGGGCACACATGGAGGGATATTACACCGTGTGTTGCTGGCATCTACAATAAAGTTTTGTGTACTTTGGTCAAGATCTCTGGAGTGCGGTCACCTTTTTTCTTCAAAATATTAATTCAATGTTTAGTCCATCCTTTCTCAATATTGAAATCATTTTCAAGTCTCAGGGAACCCATGCATAAAAATGATCTGGATCACAGTACATTAGCTCTGTGCTGTACACTTACCAATTATTAACAGCTGTATTTGATACATGGGGCGGAACATTTTTGTTGTACACCCCTCTTTTGTATGACAAAATGTTTGTAACAGTCATGAAACAAATAAAATTGTACCGTTTCCTTTACACCAGCATTCAGTGAATGCCCCCATGCACTGGTTATCAGTGAACAAGTGCCCACTTGGTGGTTGGTAGAGAAAGGCCCCTTTACATTGGTGATCAGTGGAAAAAGAGCGTCTTATATAGCGTCTTATATATTTTGTTAGTGAAGAAGTGCCCCCATGCAGTTAGTTGAGAAGTGCCCCTTAAATTTAGTGATTAGTGGAGAAGAGCCCCCTTACACTGGCAGGAAGTGGATAAGTGGCCTCTCAATCATTGGTGATCAGCAAAGGTTTCCTTTTACTTTAAAGGTTAGTGAAGAAGTGTCCCCTTACATTGGTGATCCGTTGAGAAATGCACTCATATATTGAAAGCAGTAAAGAAGTTCCTCCTTGCATTGGCAATAAGTGGAAAGGTTGCCCCTTACATTGGTGGTCAGCAAAGAAGTTCCATTTTACATTACTGGTCAGTTAAGAAGTTCCCTTTTCACTGACCACCAAATGTAACGCTGGCCATACACCAGTAGATTTTCGTAGGAATGATCCTACGAAAAATTGTCAAAACATCAATGATGCCATCAAAAACTGGATGAATGTCGCTCAAAATTTTATTCGATTTTGGAATGAATGGAGTCTCTTCAACAAAAACATTCACTGTTAAGAGTTGTGTTCATTCAAGAAAAAAGAAGTTCTATCCAGATCTTTGTAGATTTGTCAATCTGAACCCATTAACTGTTGGAAAATTAAAACAAAGTTTATTGGACAAAATTCTACTGGTACAGTATATTGTCAGTTCAAGAGGGAACTTGTCTTCTTCAATCAAGAAGTGTCACCTATTACATAGGTGATCAGTAAAGAAGTATCCCCTTACATTGGTGATCAGTGTAATCCACGCCCCCTATATTGGTGGTCAGTGAAGAAGTACCCCCTTACATTGGTGATCAGTGGAGAAGAACCTACTTACATTGGCCTGAAGTGAAAAAGTACCCCCTTACATTGATGGTAAGCAAAGAAGTTCCCCCTTATACTGATGGTCAGTAAAGACGTGGTTCCTTACATTGGTGAGCAGTGAAAAAATGCCCTATGTATGCTGGTATGCCACCACCTGTGTTCCTTCTGAATTACTAACCAGCACTGGATATGAGAAGAACACAATCCATCCTGCTTGTTAGTTGTTAATAATAGCCTGCCATGTGGAGTTTATTTGCATTAAAGCTGTCCCATGGATCAGTGCTCTTTAAATGTCTTAAGTAGCAGACTGAGCAGACTGTCAGAGCAGCTGCTCATGAGAGTGGCAGGAGGCATATGCACTGACCGCTCTCAGGGTAAAACAGCTTTACTTCATTATGTCTTTTCCTTTCAACAGAATTTACAAGGATCAGTCTGGTTTGTCAGTGGTAAAAATCTGCTCTGTGTGCCACTAAGCAGGGTCTTTTTAGCAACACTTGACATGTCACAAGTGCTGAATGTTAGAGGTTCCCCTTGTTGGTACAACATAAGAGCTGAGCCCGTCACAATAGTGACACCCTTACAATTCCTATATGTTCAATTATTTTTACTTAGCAAAATCGCTACAGAATTCAGTTACAAAATGACCGTGCTGGAGATAGTGCTTTCCTAGAGCCAATGGGCACCAAAACATGACTAACTGGGCCATACTAATAGGTGAACTCCGGGAAAAGCTAAAATTACCCTTGCAGTGGAGCTGCCCCCTGCACTGCAAGGATTAAATGCTCAATTTAGTCTAGGTAACCATTAAAAAGCAGATTTACCCTTATCTCTCGCCCCTGCAGCCTTCCTACTCTCCATGTGGCCAGTCCCCCAAAGCTACTTCTCTTTGCTGCTCCATCGGTCACAGGCACTCTGATGTCATCACACACAATGCGATACCAGATCTCTTACATTGCAAGGGAGGATGCTGTGGCCCACACTTAACCCTTGCAGTGTGTCAGGAACTTTGGATTTTCCTCAGAGTTCAGCTTTAATCTTTGGATTGAGAACGGCCTATAGCTTGGTTGCATTTTTCAGACATTAGCAGCCTTTCTCCGAGAACAATAATCTGATGGTGCATACCAAGGTCTGGGGCATCTTACAGAAATCTGTCATCCTCCAGTTCTGAGTAGTTCAGCAAGACAATCTTTTAATAGCAACAATTAGCTTAAAGTGCACCTGCCCCCAGATTATGGACATTAAAGCATGTACACTATATATTCTATGTGACTCTAATATAAAGTTAAAAGGTCTGAAAACCTGATGTCCATGCAAAGAAGAGAGTAAATACTTACCCTCTCTTGCCCCTGAGCTGCCGAATGATGCTGAAGCAAAGAGGAAATCACTGACTGCAGTCTCCTCAGAAATTGACACTTCCGGCAGTGTCAATCTCTTGTGATCCTTCTGCTACATTCAGCGTTTCCTCCTGCTGACCACAGCATCACTCCTCTGTTCTATACAAGGACACAAGCAATGCGTATTTAAAACGTATATTTCATCTTTTTATTTACCCCATTTAGTTTTATTAATCAAATTATCCGAAACAAGAACTGTGTTACCCCAGATAATGGTCATGTCCAAACCTGCAATCAATGGTAAATTAAAGTACAAATATGACAAACATTTTGATTCATGACACAAACTGGATTGTTCTCTGTCAATATGACTCAATATTTTTATTACTCACTATTTTCCTCATTCATTATGGGCATTCCAGTCAATTAGATTGCTATCTTCCTTCATGGATATCAATGGAAGACATAAAATCAGTAACAAAACAAAAAAAAGAAGAAGATTCTGCCGGCCTCTAGGTTTGTCTGATTAGCTCTTGCACTCTCTTTGCTATGTAGACCCTGGATTAGAAGGATCAAACTTTTTTTTTTTCTTTCATAAAAGCAAGTAACTTTATCGTTGCATATGCCTGCCTTAACAAAAAAAAAGTACACGTCCTACTATTAAAAACGGTAGCTACTGCGTCACTCTCAGAAATCACTGTTCTTGGCCGCGGGTAAGCATGACCTAAAAGATTAATGTACGTGACACAAAAGGCCATTGTTCAAATACCAGTCTTGTGCAAATCAGTGCTGATGTCAAAAAAAATGAATACCAGGAAGAAATGTCTTAGCCAGGAGAAAGGAAACGTGACTGGAATGTGAATTTAATATTTAAGCCGAGATCACAGTATTCATGTTCAGAAACCTTTAATAGCTTTGCAAACTCAAAAAGAAAAAACAAAAAAAGGGAAAACTTCAGGTATCATTAAAATTTCCCCTTGCAGTGCCTCCCTTCCACCACTGTAAGGGTAAATGCTTGTTTTGTCTAGGGGAATTGGAAGAAGCACATTTTGCATATTCAGGGTAAAGTGACAGGTATTCTTCATAGTACC